CTGACCTAATGACCTTCCAAGCCCTCCCTTCCTTCCGTCCTAGCTTCCTTCCGTTCTAGCCTCCTTCCTTCCTTCCTTCCTTGCTCTCTCTCTCTCTTTCTTTCTTTCTTTCTTTTTTTCTGAGATAGAGTCTCACTCTGTTGCCCAGGCTGGAGTGCAATGGTGTCATCTTGGCTCACTGCAACCTCCACCTCCCAGGTTCAAGCAATTCTCCTGCCTCAGCCTCCCAAGTAGCTGAGATTACAGATGCGTACCATGGCGCGCAGCTAATTTTTGTATTTTTAGTAGAGACGGGGTTTCACCATGTTGGCCAGGCTGGTCTTGAACTCCTGACCTCAAGTGATCTGCCCACCTTGATCACCTCCCAAAGAGCTGCAATTATAGTTGGGAGCCACTATGCCCTGCCCAAATACTTCATTTCTTAATATCATCACCTTGGAATTAGGTTTTCAACATAGAATTTGGAGAGACACAAATCCTAGCACCATCCAATCTTATCCTATCCTTCCCTGCCCTGTCCTATCCCATCCCATCTTATGTCATGCTTTCAAATTGCTGGTTGCAACCCACCAGATTGATCTTATGACCCATGAGTGGTTCTGAATCCTAAGTTCCGAAAGCTATTCTTAGTGGTACATTCCCGGAAAGCCATAGTTGTTGGTAATAGGCGCTTAGTGTCTATTTGCTGCAATTGGTAGGGCTCAGCATGGTGTTATACCTTGGGAGTCAGAGTGCCCCCAGGCCATGTGGGGACAGGTAAGAAGAAAGAAATTAGGAGCTTCCAAGAATCTGGTTACCCAGAACCCTGACCCCACTGGGAGGAATACAGGATCACATTTCATGGCCTCTTGTCTTCGTGATGGCCCATGTTTGTGGGGGACCTTAAGGCTAGGTGGTCCTAGAGACCCAATAGGCAGCATAGCCCTGAACTTAAGGCAGCATCAGGTCAGGAGGGCTTAGAAGGCAGGAGAAAGAGATTAAATAGGTCGGGTGTGGTGGCTCACACCTGTAATCCCAGCACTTTGGGAGGCCAAGGCGGGTGGATGACTTGAGGCCAGGAGTTCAAGACCAGCCTAGCCAACATGGCGAAACCCCATCTCTACTAAAAATACAAAAATTAGCTGGCTGTGGTGGCACACACCTGTAATTCCAGCTGCTCGGGAGGCTGAGGCAGGAGAATCTCTTGAACCCGGGAGGCAGAGGTTGCAGTGAGCCGAGATCACACCAATGCACTCCAGTCTGGGTGATAGAGTGGGACTCTGTCTCAAGAGAAAAAGCAAAAGAAAAAGAAAGCAAGATTAAATACACTAGAGAAAGGAAGGAGGGCAATCAATGTTGGAAGGGCTACTCTGCCTCCATAAGCATTTTCAAATTTCAGGCTCCCGCCTTTCACGGAACGCACTGCCCACCAGTCCTGTTTACACTGCCAGGTTCCACTAGGAGCTTCCCCACCTCTGCAGGTGCAGGCCTCGCTGCTTCTTAAGGCCTTTCTCTGGGGTGGGGGAAAACAGCAACTATATGATTGTCTTTCATATTCACTTTTATAGACCTAGAATGTCTACAATGTCTGAGAGTGGCGTTTGCGGCATGACTTTTAAAAAATGTCCTGCTGGTATTGGACCCTTTCTGTGTTTGTGAAATTGCTATTTTGTATTAACACAGTATTTGATAAACATTTATATTAAGAAGAATAATCCCTTTGCTGAATATTATTGTTTCTAGTGGAGTACAAAGAACGTAAATTAAAAAAAAAAAAAAAGAAAATCAAGGTGTCTCACTCTGGCCTAATTGTCTTTTTTTTTTTTTTTAACATAACACTTGCCAATTCTTTTTATAAAACTGATCTCTGTTCACTGCAGAAAATGGGATAATTAAGGCCAGGCGTGGTGGCTCACGCCTGTAATCCCAACACTTTGGGGGTGCTGAGGAGGGGGATCACTTGGGGTCTGGAGTTCCAAACCAGCCTGGCCAACATGGTGAAACCCGTCTCTACTAAAAATATAAAAATTAGCCGGCTCTGGTGGTGGGCGCCTGTAATCCCAGCTACTCCAGAGGCTGAGGCAGGAGAATCACTTGAACCCGGGAGGTGAGGTTACAGTGAGCTGAGATCGGACCACTGTACTGCAGCCTGGGTGACAGAGCTAGACTCTGTCTCAAAAAAAAAAAAAAAAAAAAAAAAAAAAAAAAAAAGAAAGAAAAAGAAAGACAGAAAATGGGATAATTATTGCTGATATAAATGGGGGTGGAGTAACACTAAAGAAGAAAACAAAATGGGGTATTTAGAAAAGACAAAGAAAATGAAAACTCCTGTATTAGCTCTCTACTACTGCATGTCATAAATTATCGTAAAATGGTGGCTTAAAACAATATTATCTATGTCTTTTGTGGTTTTCACGGGACAGGAGTTAGAGTCTGGGGCTCAGCTAGAGGAGGTGGAAGTTGAGGCTGGAATCACTTGAAGGTGTGTTCGTGTACACATCTGTTGGTTGATGCTAGGGACCCAGCTGGGAAAGTTGGTCAAACACCCTGTTTTATTATATTTATTTATTTTGACATGGACTCTTGCTCCATCGCCCAGGCTGGAGCGCAGTGGCACAATCTCAGCTCACTGCAACCTCTGCCTCCCAGGTTTGAGCAATTCTCCTGTCTCAGCCTCCCAAGTAACTGAGACTACAGGCGCATGCTGCCATGCCCAGCTAATTTTTTGTATTTTAGTGGAGATGGAGTTTCACCATGTTGCCCAGGCTGGTCTCGAACTGCAGGGGCTGCAGTTTTCCATGCATCTCATCGATTAGCTCGGCATACTTTTCAGATGTAATGATTTCACCAGGACTCAAAAGCTGTAGTGGATCAGAAGACCAGCAGCTGACCACCAAATGGTGACCATGACCTCTTTTTGGTGCAAGTTTGACTTTGAGAAGTGGTTTGGAGCTTCTTCTCAGTCCGACCACTGAGCTGGCTGTTGTATGAAATCCACTTTTCGTGGCATGTCACAATCTGATCAAGAAATGGTTCATTGTTGTTTCATAGAATAAGAGAAGATGACACTTCAAAAGGATGATTTTTTTTTTTTTTTTTTTTGAGACGGAGTCTTCGCTCTGTTGCCCAGGCTGGAGTGCAGTGGCCGGATCTCAGCTCACTGCAAGCTCCGCCTCCTGGGTTCACGCCATTCTCCTGCCTCAGCCTCCCTAGTAGCTGGGACTACAGGCGCCCACCACCTCGCGCGGCTAGTTTTTTGTATTTTTTTTTTAGTAGAGACGGGGTTTCACCGTGTTAGCCAGGATGGTCTCGATCTCCTGACCTCGTGATCCACCCGTCTTGGCCTCCCAAAATGCTGGGATTACAGGCTTGAGCCACTGCGCCCGGCCAAAAGGATGATTTTTAAAATATTGGTCAGCTCATGAGGCACCCACTTATCAAGCTTTTCCAACTTTCCAATTGGCTTCACCTGCCGGATGACCATAGAATGGTCGACATTCAGTTCTTCCACAACTTCTCGTGTGGCTGTCAGAGGATCAAATTCAGTGGTTGCTCTCAATTGGTGGTTATCAACTTCCAGTGGCCGCCCACTACGCTCCTCATCTCCAAGGCTCTCGTCTCCTTTGCAAAACTTCTTGAATCACTGCGCTGTACATTGATAAGCAGTTCCTGGGCCAAATGCGTTGATGTTGTGAGTTGGCTCCCCTGCTTTAGGACCCATTTTGAACTCGAATAAGAAAGTCGCTTGAATTTGCTTTTTGTCTGGCGTCATTTCCATAGTCTAAAATAAATAAGTAATAAGTCATTAGCAAAAAAAAAAAAAAAAAAAAAAGGCAAGAAATGCCCATTAAAATGATGAATAACATAACCACATTTATTTAAGAGGGTATTCCAGTATCAAACAGCAAATTCCAAGAATGCAAAAACTGTCATTACTTTAGTACTCACCTTACAATAATTTGTGTGATTTATTTTTTTCTTTGTTAGCCTTGCTTGATAGTTACCAATTTTGTTGATCTTTATGAAGAAACAGCTATTATCCTATTGAGTTCTTCTGTTGATTTTCTGTTTTCAGTGCCATTGACTTGTCATCTTGTTTTCATTTCTTTTGAGTGAATTTGGTTTTTATTGTTCTTTTTTCCTTTTTTTTTTTTTTGAGACAGAGTCTCACTCTGTCACCCAGGCGACCTCGCTCTGTCGCACGAGGTCAGGAGATCGAGACCATCCTGGCTAACACGGTGAAACCCCGTCTCTACTAAAAACACAAAACATTAGCCGGGCTTGGTGGCAGGTGCCTGTAGTCCCAGTTACTCTGGAGGCTGAGGCAGGAGAATGGCATGAACCCGAGAGGTGGAGCTTGCAGTGAGCCGAGATCATGCCACTGCACTCCCTCCAGCCTGGGTGATGGAGTGAGACTCTCGGTCAAAAAAAAAAAAAAAAACAAAAAACAAAAACAGTGAGGCATAGTAGGAAGAATGAGGCGGGCGGATCACGAGGTCAGGAGTTGAAGACCAGCCTGGCCAACATGGTGAAATCCCTTCTCTACTAAAAATACAAAAATTAGCCAGACCTAGTGGTGAGCACCTGTAGTCCCAGCTACTCAGGAGGCTGAGCCAGGAAAATAGCTTGAACCCGGGAGATGGAAATTGCAGTGAGTCGAGATCGCGCCACTGCACTCCAGCATGGGTGACAGAGCAAGACTCCGTCTCAAGAAAAAAAAAATTAGCTGGGCCTGGTGGTGCTTGTCTGTAATCTCAGCTATTCGGGAGGCTGAGGCAGGAGAACTGCTTGAACCAGGCCCTGGGAGGCAGAGGTTGCAGTGAGCCGAGATCATGCCACTGCACTCCAGCATGGACTACAGAGCGAGACCTGTCTGAAAAAAAAGAAAAAGAAAAATAATATATATATATATATATATTTGAAGTATTATCCAATAAGAGCAGGTGTTCCGGAAGACCTCATTTAAATACAGAATCTGAATGGGGGTCCATGTCACACCTGCCATTTTTTCATCTTTGCAGCTGGGCTTTTCTCCTCTTCTCTGCTGGACTCTGCTGTTTCCCACAAGGTGTTCAGAGATTCTGCCCTGAATCGTGCAACCAGGAGATGAGAAGCACAGAGTGACACCAGCAGGAGAACATAAAGATGCGCTGACAGTTGTCCTCCTGCTGCAGAGTCCAGAGCAGTGCACTCCTACCGCTGGTGCCCTAGCTAAGCCTGGGGGCCAGCATGTCCGATGATAGTCTGGGAGTGCTGCAGTCAGGGTCCCCACAATGGGCACTCAGCCTGTGCCCTTGCACTCTGCATGACCGTGGTCATTGTCACCTCAGAGCCCCGGGGTACAGAGCAATGCATCCTACCAGAGCTGCATGTGGGGAAGTACCACGTGAGTCCCGGGAAAGAGCTGAGGCCCTGCAGGGGGAGGTGGCCAGGACTGAGACCTGATGCTTGTGTGTAGAATCGTCTGTGGGTGTGAGTGGCACTGTGGGGTCAGTGCCCGGGTTCTGCTGCTCCCCCTCCTCAAAGATCAGGGTCCGAGCAGGGGCTGTCGTGTGTGTGGCACCTGGAACTGCAGGGCCACCACCCATGTGGGAGGCCATCATGGGGACCTGATGTCATCTGCAGACCCCACCCGTCCATCAGCCCCAATTCCTGGCCAGCTTCTGCCAAGGTGAGAGGGTGGAATTTGGAAGGTGGGTGTAAGCTGAAGCCTGTCCCCCAGTGGCTGACATACAGTGGTGACACTCTCTGTGTGGGGGAAAGAAAGAGAGATCAGACTGTTATTCTGTCTATGTAGAAAGACGAAGACACAAGAAAGTCCATTTTCATCTGTACTAAGAAAAATTCTTCTGCCTTAAGATGCGTTAATCTGTAACCCCAGCCCCAGCCCTGTGCTCACAGAAGCAGGTGCTGTATTGGCTCAAGGTTGTGCCTTAGTGAAAATGTGTTTGCAGGCAGTATGCTTGGTAAAAGTCATCGCCATTCTCCAGTCTCGAGTACCCAGGGACACAGTGCACTGCGGAAAGCCTCAGGGACCTCTGCCCAAGAAAGCCTGGGTGTTGTCCAAGGTTTCTTCCCACTGAGGCAGCCTGAGATATGGCCTCGTGGGAAGGGAAAGACCTGACCATCCCCCAGCCCGACGCCCATAAAGGGTCTGTGCTCAGGAGGATTAGTGGAAGAGGAAGGCCTTTTTGCAGGTGATGTAAGAGGAAGGCATCTGTCTCCTGCTCATCTCTGGGAATGGAATGTCTCGAGGTAAAACCTGACCATACATTCTATTTACTGAGATAGGAGAAAACCGCCTTATGGCTGGAGGCGAGACATGCTGGCGGCAATACTGCTCTTTACTGCACGGAGATGTTGGTGTAAAGTCAAACAATAATCTGGCCGACATGCACATCGAGGCACAGCACCTTTCCTTACACTTATTGATGGCACACAGTCCTTTGCTCACATGTTTTCTGCTGACCCTCTCCCCACCACTACCCTGTAGTCCTGCCACATCCCCCTTGCCGAAATAGTAGAGATAGTGATCAATAAATACTGAGGGGACTGCAGAGACCAGTGCCGGAGGACGGTGTGGGTCCTCCGAATGCTGAGCGCAGGTACCCTGGGCCCACATTTCTTCCTCTAGACTTTGTCACTGTGTCTGATTTCCTTTCTCCGTCTCTCATCTCCACCTTTCAAGAAATACCCACAGGTGTGGAGGGGGAGGCCCCCTTCACTCTGATGCCACCCTTGCCCTCACCTAGCTCTCTCATACCTGGGATTCTAAGGGGTCTCTCCCAGGATTGCATGCCCACTGCCAATCAGAGGTGAACACGTCGATGCCTCCTGGATATGGGGCTACTGGTGGTCAAGGCCTGGCAGTATGTGGAGGGTCTTCTCAGAGGGGCCACGGGGCCAGGGAATGGGATGGGGTGCTAACTCCACCCTGCACAGGAACCGCAGCCCCCAGCCAAGCCGGCCCAAGTATTCCAGGTGCTGCCCATCCCGCATGCACACTGCCAGGCTCCAGGTGGCTTGGCAGAGAGGGATGGCCTGGTGGGCAGCTGAGAATCCAGAATGAAGGGGGCGTGCACTGCCATTTGCAGTCTGGCAGGCAGGAGCAGGGAGGCTGTTGAATGGTGAGTGAGGGGGATTGGGGAAGGGCAGGCAGCCCAGTTGGCCTGATTTACCAGTGAATGAGCTGTGGGCGCAGCTACTCCTGGCTGAGGGCTGGGCTTGGGACAGTCTGTTTGGACCCCTTGGGCTCCAGGCTGCCAGCTGCCTGCCCAGGGTCTGAATGTCCTACTGTGACCTGTTTCCTTACCTGGCCCAGAGGACAGATAGGGAAGGCTTGCTTTGAGGATTAGGCAGGGTAATCCCAGTCAGCCCTCATTAGCTTGTCTATCCTCCAGGTCTTTTTGATTTCTCTTTTCTCTTCTTTGTTATGAAACTCTGGAGAACTGTCCTCCAGCCTGTCTTCAGCTGGGCAGGTGGAAAGGCTAGACCTTGCCCTTGACTTCAGGGCCCCTTCTGGGTGCCCCTTCCTCCTGGGTTTTTAAAAGCATATACTTAGCAACATACCCTGTACCTGAGAGAGCTGCAGAGAACCTCCTGCGTGTCCAAACCAGCACACTTTGTTCCCTGAAACCAGGCCCTCATCACACCCCAAAGCCCAAATACTTTCAGGTGGCCAACTTCACACAAGAGTCTGAACTCAATGCTTGTTTTCTGGGTCTACACAGGCCCGTATGATGGGGCTACCTCCATTCTACCCCTGTGCCTCCCCCAATCCATTAGGGGCCTCAACTCCAGTGACCCCTAACTGGGAGCAAGGTTCCCCAGGCAGGGAATGCAGCCCTCCCCAGGATGCTGGCCTGGCCATGTCCCAGTGGACATCAGTGCTGGAGCAAGAGGTCCAAGGCAGGGAGTTTCACCCCCCATTTCACCAGGTGTGGTGACCTTTCTGGGTTCCTAACCTTCAAGATGGGATTTTTACACTGTGCCACAGTGGGGGAAACCGAGGCACAGGGCCGGTGAGCGGTAAAGAAAGAAAACCTCTGTGACTAGGAAACGTGTCCCTTGCCCAGCACAGCCGCTCCAGGATAGCACCCCTTGGGATGTACCGCTGAGCTGTTCTTGGCACGTGGCATGGCACCGTGGTGGAGGTCAGCAGCTTGTGGAGTTGGGGGAGGGGGTGCTGGCAGGAGCGGGTAATTTTGGACCCACCATGGGGAGGAAGGGGACATTGCCCCTTTCCCCACACCTTGGGCACAGCAGCAATTATCTTCTCTGGTGTGTGTGGGCACCAATGCCTATGTGGCTGTGGGTGCGTCCTCCCCTTTTGTTGATGAAGAACCTTCCTGCAGCCGTTGGGGTGGGTATGGGCACCACGTGTGCCTGGCAGCAGGGTGGTGCCTGTGGAGGCTTGGCTACTATATGTCTCACTGCCACCTCCCCAGGGGAAGCAGACCCTGTACCCTAGTGTCCCTCATACCCAGTCCCTCACATTCTTCACTTGGCATCTCCCTGCCTGATTCTCCCAACTCAGCCCCTGCCAGGTTTCTCCAGGCCCTGTGGGCCCTGGGATGGGATCAAGGGAGGCAGCAACTGTGCTGTCTGCCTCTGCCTGAAGTCAGGGATCCCTGGCCCCTACTGGCATCTGGTGGGCAGGGTAGGTGGGTAGGTCAGGGGTCAGCTTTTCCACTCCCCAGCCTGCATTGGCTAAGTCACCAGCTGTAACTGGCCTGGAGGCTGATCTGTGTCCTCCACAGTCCCTTGATGCATTATATTGAAGCCAATGCTTGTGTGAATGACAAGACATGTTGTTACCAAGCAGATCAAACCAGAACCGAAAGACTGTAGCACTTGGGCCCAGAGTCTGGTTCTGAGGCTGCCATGACCACCCTGTTCTCTTCCTTCTGTTGCGCTTGGGCCCAGAGCCTGGGGCTGAGGCTGCCATGACCACCTTGTTCTCTTCCTTCTGGGATCCCCAGGAAGCTCCCAGGACCGAATGATCCCCACAAAACACAGTGGCCAGGATGGGAGGGCTGGAGGTCAACTGCCCCCTGCCCCTACCACCACAACCAAGAGGCCCCATGGAGGTTGGCCCAGAGCTGTGGGTCCCTGTGGGATGCAGGTTCCCACGGATACTTCAGGGGGTGAGCATGAGTCCTCCTGGCTGACGGGAGACTGGTGGGCACTGGGTTAGTGGGGCCTGTATAGGTGGGTTGGACAGCACTGGGTCTATCCAGGGAGCCAGGGACTGGTGTGGCCAAAGTGGACAGCAATATGTTGCCAGAACAAAACTACAGTGCCACCAGCCCAGCTGGTAGGGAGAAGGAGGCCTGCCTAGCAGGACCATCCACCCCTGTCCTGGCCCCAAGCCCAGACTGCCTGCCTGTACTGGACATTGCCTGGTCCAGGAGGCCTGGGCATGATGGTCAGGTGGTGTGTCCCTGGGTTCCAGGCCTTGGTGGTCCCTTGGGAGCTGAGCATCCTCTGGGCAGGAGGAGGGCCCATGGTCCACTGTTTGCATTTGTCCCTGGGGGGTGTGCCGACCCCAGCTTCTCAGCCCGTACGGGGACGTGGCCAGGGCTCCTCACCTGCTCTGTGGCTCCAGCTCTGAGCAGCTCACTGGGTGACTCTGACAGCTTCCTCCCCAAAGCTTGGGTCCTCGTCTGTGGGAATGGGGTGTCCCAGGCCCCCTGCAGGCAGGAACCCACCCCCAGCTCCTCTGGTGGGCCCTCCTGGGCTTTCTTACCTACTGGCTTGTGAGACCCGTTTGGCCAAACTTGGTGTCCTATTTTTATTTTGGCCTTTTTCTTAGTGTGTGTTTTCTGTAACTACTGCTGTGTAGATCTTCTATGTGAGTTTTAGGTAGAGAATCTTGCCCACCCAGAGGTCCTCCACCCCAGAGAGCCTCCACTTCAGCCCCCTGGGGCTGGTCCTGCCTGTGCTCCTCTTGGTGTGAATGTTGAGTGTGATGGATCCACACAGCTGCTTGACCCTGCATCTCCTTCCTTCTTCTTGCTGAGGCGGGTTCTGTCTCTCTTTCTCCACCTGAGCTGCACTTGAAGCCAAGATGAAGGATGAGAAGTGGTTGCTATGAAGGACCCTCTTGCAGTGGATCTGCTGTGAGGAGGCTATGCTGGCCAAGCCTGTCATTTCCTTCTCTAAGCTCATTCCAGAGGTCGGCCAGGGGCAGCCCGTACCTGCCTCCTCTTGTGGCCTGTGAATCAAGAATGGATTTTACATTTCCAAATGGTTGAACAAATAAAAAATAACACTTCATGTCACTGAGAAGTGTCCATGTCCGTAAGAAAAGTTTGATGGGGGTGCAGTCATGCCCATCTCTTCACAGGCCACCTGCAGAAGGCTGCTGTCGTGCAGTCATGGCAGAGTTGCATCCTTGAGGCAAAGATCAGTTGGCAAAGCTGAAAATACTGACTCCTGGCTCTTTAGGGAAACAGTTTCCAGTCCCTGGTTTAAGGGCTGTGTGGCGAACCCCAGGATCTTGGTCAGCTTGTTCCTCACTCAGGGCCTGCTGTGGCCTTCGCTAGTATGTCTGCAAAGTCTGCGTGCTATGGTGCCTCTCATGGGGGCGTTGAGCTCTGTCGTGCTAGATTTCAGGGTGTCTGCCTCAAGGTCACCTGTCTCACCAACAGAGACCCTGTGGCCAGATTCAAACTAGCAGGAGCAGTTGGTCTTTGGCAGCAGGGATACCTTCGAGCTGAGCTGCCACCCACCCTGAGGTGGTCCCATGACACCCACTGTCTCGGTTAAGGTTGGGGCAGGGCAGGTGTCCTGAAGTGCCCTGCGACATGGATCGTAATAGCCAGTGGGGAGAGGGGGTTGTTATTACTCCCCATATCGTGGGGAGTGCCTCACCCCCTGCGATGTGGATCGTAATAGCCAATTACTCCCCCCTGCAATGTGTGTCCATTATTAGCATCTCTTTTGTTCAGGATATTAGGAACAATTTCACAGGTTGTGTGTACACAGCCTGCGACAGGAGAACAAATACCATCCTCTGCATCTCCGGATATTAGCAACCATACCACACAATGGGTGTACACTTTTTGGGAGATTTGGGGTAATGTCCTCCTTTGTTTCCCTGAATATTCAGAGACATATCACAGGGCAGCTGTACATCCACTACTCTCTTGGCAGGAACATCGTACTTTACCTACTGGAAATTAGGAGCAATATCACAGACTGGGTGTCAAGCCACTGTCATACTGGAAGTAATATCATGCTCTCCCCCACAACTTATGAGGAACAATATCACAGGGGGTGTGTACCTTCTCCGTTAGTTGGAGTAGTATCATCATCTCTTCCTTTGGATGACAGGAACAATATCACAGGGTGGGTGTTAACCCCGTGTGTTTTTGGAAGCAATGTCATTCTCTCTTCTTCTAGGTTTTACGATTCATATCACAGGCGGGGTGTACACCCCTTGTTATATTGGATGGAATCTCATCCTCCTTCAACCGTATCTTTAGAACAATATCTCTTGGGGCTGTCCATCCCTTCAATATTGGTAGTAATACCATCTTCTCCTTTCCTGGATGTAAGAAAGAATATCACAGGAGGGGTGTACACCCCTTGCATGTTGGTAGTAATATCACCTCTCCCCTGTGGTTATT